TTCCTTTTTCTAAAAATTCTTTGTTATAAGGGATGTATGTGTGGGGGGAGGATAAAATTGGAAATGTTAAAATATACGTGATATGAAAGCAAAAGATATAAATCAAATTTATTTTTAAAATAATGTAATGGTTCAGTTCGATTTGTTTCTAAAAGCTTTAAAGAGGAAGTTTTCTTTTTTCCTGGGATAAACCCCACTTGAAACATAATGGGACCTATTTACCATTTCTTCATTGTGTTTCTCTTTTCTGTATTTTGCCCAGCTTCTCCATCTCCTTGTAAAAGTTTGGGGATCCAAAGAACACCAGATTCGAATGTCTTTGATTGCTATGGAAAGATTATTTCCTGACCTTTGAGCAGCGTGTCCTGTCATGATCTCTGCCCGTTTGTTGGTTTCTTTCGTGGTAATAAATCACTGACTCATCATTTTACTCTCAGCCACGACCCTGATACTTCTTCCTTCTAGTTAGGGCTCCTTTCCTGTTTGTCCTTTCCAATATGTCAATGTCTAGTCAGTAATGACCTTGTAGTTACAGATTAACATATTCTCACCATCCTATGACAGCATTTGGAAGAGAAGTAATGTACGTTTTGTACAATTATGGTTACTGTTTTCCATTAGATGGGCTTAATTGGATACATTGTTAGTGCCAACTTTGAGGCAAGTTGCATCCTGGAGATATTTATGGTAACTGTACAGGAAAGAACACTGGATTTGGAGTCAGTTGGAGTCTCTGACTTTGCTTATTATGTAAGTTTGACCTCAAGAAAGTAGCTTAACCCATTTGGGCCCCAAATTCTTCCTTAAAAAAAGAGAATAATAATAATAATAATTCTTTAATACCTGACAGTATGTTTACTACCACTTTAAGAACACTCTCCCAACTTAGATGCACAGAGGTTGGGACCCCAGAGGGCAGATGGCTATGATACTGCTCATGATTCTGGGGCTAACCCTGAGGGGTTGGGGCTTTGGTTCATGAGTTCGTTATTTCTGTGTGCTCCCCGACATCAATGAGCCAGTTGGCATCAACTAGTTTTTAGAAAAGGGCATTTACTAGGATGGTATAGCAACAGCAGTTGGTATAAAACAACTCCCTGCCCAACTCAGGGTGCACAAGGATCCTCAGGAGAGAGGGCTCAAACTGAAAGTAAAATGGAGGTGAGGCACAGAACATGTGTATTGTAACCAAAGATAGTCTCCCAACTTCAGAAGTCTTTTTCTCCCTTCTTGTAGTCCTTACAGGGTTGCTCTTAGGTGCCGGGCTCTAGGGAATGATGCCTCTTAGCTGGAAATTCTCTCCATCATGAGGGGTCAGAGTCCCTAAAGCTACCACCATCCTGGGATGACTGACTGTCTTTCCACACCTGCCTGCAGGTGCTTCCTCTGTCATCAGCTACAACCACTACAGTGGCTGCTGCTACTGTTTCTGTGGACTCTGTTACTGTTTCTGGTTGCCTATGGGACCTCTGATGTCTCTGATGGGAACAAGTGGATTTCCTGAAATCAACAGGTTGCCTGGGCACTCCTTTCTCGAGCACTCATTCACAAGCCTAGGGGATCTGGCAGTCACCCTTCCCTCCTCCCTCCCCAGCAGCTCACAGCATATGTTTCACTTGCTGCGCAGATGGAAAAGAGATTTGAAAACCTGTTCCTCAAAGGTCCATGTGCTGGAATCCAGACAGGGAATATTTGTGCATGGTCTGTACAATCTATCAGGAAGGACAAATCTGAGCTTGCTCTAAGGCCTGGGCCCTTGTCGGCCCATATGTGAAATAGCTTGCAATCATAAAGTGCTTTTAAAAAGGCTCGCACCAATCAGCACCCACTGGGTGCTGAGTATTAGGGACACCTGTCCTCAAGGAACTTACATTCTATTGAGAGAAACACGTATATGCATAAGCACATACAAAATACATACAAGGTAATTAGGAGTTGTGAGGTGATATGATGTAGTGGGGAGAGAACTGACCAGGAAGACGGGTTCTAATCTTGCCTCTAATGCTTACTGGTTGTGTGACACTGGACAAGTCACTTAACCCCTAAGGGATATATAGGCAATTCTCTGAGAGTATAAGTTGTAGGGGGCCAAAAAAAACCAAAAAAAAACCCAAAAACCTTCCTTGGAAGGGATTCCTCATTGTCAATAAATAGTCAATAAACATTGAGCAAGCACCATTTTTTTATGTTCCAGGCACAGTGCTGGGGATAAAAATACTCACACACACACACACACACACACACACACACACACACAAGTCCCACCCTCAAAGAGCTTACAATGTAATGTGGGAAGATAATGTAGAAAAGGAAGAGGGAAAAGTGAAGGTAGGAGGAGAGAAAGGAAAGTACCCTATAATGAGCCCCCTCGGCATGATAGAAAAGTCAGAGAAGTCCCAAAGTAATGCTGTTCTGTTCTGTTGTTGTTTGCCCTTCGTTTTTCAGAGCGCACAAGACATCATGGAGTGATGTCTTGCCTCGTGGGTGAATTGGATTTAAATGAAACAGAGGTGCATAAAGTTGTCCCTCACTCTTTCTTCTGGGGTCACGGAAGTCCAGTGGCAAGACAAAAGTCAGGACGTTGCCTGCTTCAGACACGTTCGTGGCTGTTGGAACAAATCATTCTCATTCGCCCATTCCACTTGCAGAAGGCTGAAGCTTGGGTTAGACATTCCCCTAACTCACCGACGGTTTGTGGCCTGTTTGTTACTCTCATCTGCCCATCTGCCGACACAATTTATTGGGGTGTGGCCACTGTGCATGCTAGAGCTTCTGGGAGCCACAGGTGAGGGCTGAGTGCCAGGTGGACATCAAAGGTGGATGAGCAGCCTTGAAAAGGGCTTGGCAAACCCTCACACCAGAGGTGCTAGTCCTCCTTGGACACCCATGCATCCCTAATAATGCAGCTAGGTAAGAAAGGAAGAGACGTCTGAGCTGAGCTCTCTCCTTACATGAAGGTCTAGAGCTCGTGAGCTGGTGAGATCTTACAGGATGGTGGGTTATCCCAATAATGAGCTTCCTGGGGCATGACAAAGTCAGTCCAGCCACATTCTCGAATCACAAAGGGTAATGATGAGGTGGACTACCAAATCTGATGAGATCATACAGCATGATAAGGTTATTCCAAGAATGAGTTTCCTGGGGCGTGGGGGATCAGTCTGTCAGAGAAATCTCAAAGTAGTGTGGCCAGGTGAGAAATGAGATCATTAGGATACCTCATACCAAAGAAATCACAAATCTAGTCCTTAACCCAAAGTAGGAGGCATTTTTGGGGGGTGGGGGTTGGGGGGGAGTACTGGCAGCTGGGAGAATCAGATAAGATCTCATATTGGAGGTGACCTTTGAAAGAAACTATGAGTGCTAAGACAGTGAGGTGGGGAGAAATGTATTTTTTAAATGTTGGCTTGCCTGTGGCAACACATGGGGGAGATGAAATTTTCATTGTGTGGGAAAACAACTGAGTTTGTATGGACTAAGGTGTCTATGAAGCAGAGTAACTTACAAGGTTTTAAATGGCATTAAATGAGAGAGTTTATATTTGATTCTAGAAGTACTAGGGAGTTTACTGAGCAGGGGAGAGACATGGTCGGGCCTCAATTTTAGGCCTATCACTTTCGCAGCTTTGTAGAGGATGCATATAGCACTTTAAGACTGGAAGAGTTCATATGTGTGTGTTCATATATATATGTGTGTGTATGTATATATGTATGTATGCACACACATAAATACATATTCTCACTGGATCTTCATAACAAGCTGGTGAAGTTGTGTTATTTCCATTTTACAGATGAAACAATTGAGGCTTAGGAGGTCAGCTAACTTAACCCAGGGTCACACAGCACCTCAATTCAGTTCTCCCTGACTGCAATTCCATCATTTTTCCCTACTGACACTTTGACTCATTCTGTTACTGTTTGTTGTTAGCGTGTTCTTGCCTCCCCTCCAAAGTGAATTGTGTGGGCACCTATGCCCTACTTTCATGGTGGCACTGCACGACGGAGCGAGCGGAGGCCGGGCTGTGATTACAAAGCACGGGGCGGCAACTTCCCCTCCCCACGTTCAAGGGCACGGCTCTGGGCCGGACGCAGAGATCCTTCCAAGTCATTCCTGCTCAACGGGTTCTGTGCAAGAAATCCAGCCCTGAGCTGCCCATCCTGCCAGGGCGTCGTGGACGCGGATGAGGTCGATGTCTCAGCGCCCGCCGGGTGACTCGGCCCCTGCAAGTCAGCGTTTCCCAAGCGCCTGCTAAGCCGCCCCAAAGGCCCTCCCCCTTCCCCCGTCGGCACCTTGGCTCCTTCCCCAGACGCGTCCTCTGCCATTTCCCCAGGGAAGGAAGAGGGGGCGGGGCGCGGTGGTGGGCGGTGCCTCGCCTGGGCCCGCCCCCGCCCGGGGTGGGCGGTGTTCTCGGAGCTGCAGTGCCGCGCGGGGGGATGAGGGTGGGCTGACGTTCTGCAAGGGGGCGGGGCCGCTCGAGGTGGGAGGGGGTGGCCGCGGGAAGGGCCCGGAGTGCGGCCGAAGCCCAGGACACGCCTCCTCCCTCTCCCCCTCCCCCGCCTCGTCCTCGCCCCGCCCCTCTCCTTCTTCCCCTCCGACCTGGGCCTCTACGTGTAGACGCGCACCTGGCAACCGGCGCCCGCCGGGTCGCGTCCGCCCGCGCCGCCTCCCGCGCCCCCTCCGGCGCCGCGTCTCCCCGCCCGGCCCGGCTCGTCGCGGGCTCTCGGCGCCCCCCTCCCGCGTGGGGCTGTCACTCGCGGAGGCCGGGCCGGCGGCGCGCGCTCGCTCGCTCGTTGATGCCGTTTCGGGGGTGACCCCGGCGGCGGCAGCGGCGGCGGCTCCATCCCCGGCCGGGGCAGCGGCGGGGCGGGCTCCATGGCGCGGGGGCTCTAGGCGCGGGCATCCGTGGGCGGCGGCGGCGACCGGAGCAGCGGCGGTGCGGGTGCGGGCGGGGCGCGGGCGGCCAGGTGTGCGGGGGCGGCGGCATGGGCGAGAGGGAGAGGAAGATGTTGGAGCTGAGGCACCGGGCGGCCGGCGGCCTCGGCCCGGGAGCGGCGGCGGCCCGCGAAGGAGACGGCGCTGGCGGCGACCACGAAGCCGAGAGCACCAGCGACAAGGTAGGGGCCGGCCGGGCCGGGCGGGGGGACCCAGCTGGGGCGCAGGACCCCGGCCCCGCGCGCCTCCTCACCTGCCTGCCTGCCTGCGGGCGGCCCTCCGGCCTCCTCCCTGGACAGCGCCTGCTCACCTGCCGGCCTGCCTCGCTGCATGCCCACCTGGCCTCCCTACGTGTGCATGCCTCCCTACCTGC